CAGGGCATTGAATTGTTTCTAAATGAACGCTATTTTACTCGAAAATTAACATTTTATATAATTAAAGCAAACATAATGATGTTTTCAAGTGTATATATGTACATTTTCAATTCTGTGAAAAATGAATGTTCTATTTTGCGAAACAATTAGCGAGTATAAGACTAAAAAAAATATATAAAATAAAAATTCAGTTACTTCAAAATCAGTATTAACAAGTCGAGCACAATTGGTGTACCATATACGAACTCCTTTGGAAAATGTTTGGGGAACCCCAATTTGGCATACACCAATGTACCCCAAGGCAAAAATAAACTATTGTTTGTGTGTGCATATTGAATCCTAAGTGGGGTTTTCTAGCACCCCCAACCATAGTTTTAAAATTAAAATCGGACCATCCGGTTCAGATTTGGAACCGGTGAACCGGACACTAAACCAGTCCTGTCCAGTCAATCATACCGTCTTCAATACTGAACCGGGAAACCGGTAAAATCGGAGAGAATCAGCCGGTTTCACCGCCGTAACCAATTTTTTGTGAATTTTTTTAAAAAACCCAAACCATTGATTCGAACCTAAGACCTCATGAGGTTGCTTTGCGCGCTACAAATCATCTCTACTATAATGCTTGGTGTCTTTTTGCTAATTTTAATGTATATTCTAGAATTACAAAATTTTTTATTAAATAGCTTTGAAAAGTATAATTAGCTAAAATTCAAAAACCACTGATTTTAAATATAAAAATTTTATTTTTCATTTAATGACATAACTCAAGTAAATTAAATTGGTTATAACTTTTGTCAAACATCATAAATTATTTATTTATAAATGGAGGAAATATTATTTTGTTTACTCATATACTCCGTATTAGTTTTTTTTTTTTAATTTAATGCCACAACGTGTAGGTGTTTGTGTGTATGTATTAAAATATGTTTGAGTCACTCGTTCAAAGTAAACTGGTGAATTAGTGCTTAAATCAAAGGTTCGATTCTGTAAATTATGCCCAACTCCATTTCCTCCCTTTTATGTTTTGAACTAAATAAAGATCTTTTCTCTCTCTCTTGCCCTTCTCCCCCAACCATCTTCTTCCATTTCCTCCATCAAATCAAGCAGAGCCTCTCACTCCACTCTTTTTCCAATGGATTAAAGCTCAATTGCCGTTTCTACTTTCTGGCTAATAAACAGTCCCGCCACCAGTTTGCATCATTTTTTGGAGGGAGTTCTTATTTCTTACCCCATTTTTAATTCCAACCAGCAATCCATTCCAGTCCCTACTCCATCAATCTCGCTCAGGCCAGCCAATGGATGATGGCGGCGCTTGGTGTGATCCTTGAAACGAGCAACCGATCCCTCCTACTCAACGCACCCATCCCGAACTGGAAATGTAGAATCCAATGCAGCCGCCGCAATTGCCCTCTAAATCCATGTACTAGATCGGTACTCTCCTCTCAGTCTCGGTTCATGGCCTTCTTCTTCTCTCTGCGCAACCCTAATTCTCGGTTATCAGCTTCTCCTGTGCCTCCAGTGTCGAATGGAAGGGCAAATTCGAACGGAGTGGTTCATCGGCGTCCAATTCCAAGTCGGAATCCAAATCCAAATGGAAGGGCATTATTGAAGACTATAATCTCTCGTCAGTTCACTGTGAACGCCTCTTCGAGTTCGCACTCTCTTCTAGGTTCATATGTCCTCTTTTCTTTCATGCTCAAATTCACTGGCTTGTGTGTAGTTTTTTGAATTTTAAGAAGTTCAATCTCGATTTCTCTATCAGTTGTTGATGGTGCGATGATGGACTATATACACGGTCGATCGAGAGCCACTCTGGTTGCCCATAGGTTGTTTTCATTAATTTTCTTCTTCTTATTTGCTCTCTTTTGGCCATCTTTTGAATAAATATCCCTTTCTGGCTTTCTTTTTACTAAGTTTACGGCCGATTGTCAAGGGATATTTTCCTGAAATAAGTATAGAGCCTGTAGCTTAGTACATTATGCATCCTGCTTGCTTTGTTTTTCAAGCAATTTGTGTTTTGGCAGTGTGTGGAGGCATATTGTTCAGAAAGGGGATGCAGTGATTGATGCTACTTGTGGAAATGGTAACGATACTCTGGCACTATTGAAAATGGTTGCTGATGACACACGGAGAGGCCGTGTATATGGAATGGATGTTCAGAAAGTTGCTTTGCAGAATACGTCTCTTTTACTAGATCGATCTGTTAACCCTGAAGATGTAAAGTTCTTTATCATTCTCTGATTCTATCTCCTTTTATCTCATAGGATGGTTTGATCATCTAAGTTAGTTCCATACTTCCACGATTGCGATGACAGTAATGGGAAAATGTCTTAATGTGGCTCTTTGGATTTATATGCAGCAAAATACAGAGTAACTCTCAAATTACCTCCCACATGCTTTCTTGTGGTGTTGACAGTTGACCTGTTTAATTCAACCCACCAGTTGTATATCTACTAGTGCTTCACCATGACAGCATGGGAAATCTTATTGTATTTATACCTGGAAAGGAAGACTAAGTAAAGTTACTACCCCCTCCTTGAAATGCACAATCAATGTTTGCTATGAAAAATGTTTGCTTTGCAGAAAGAACTTGTTGAGCTGTTTTGCCTGTGTCATAGTCACATGGGAGATGTGATTCCTGATGGTGTAAAAGTAAGGTATTGTTTTTTGCTATTGCTAATGAGTAATGACCTAATGTTTTTTGGATGTACAACTGATATAGGGTGACCCCTTGAATTTTGAATTATGGCATTTTTCTCCCCCCCCCCTCCCCACCCCATATTTGTCAATTTCTTTTCATTTTCTTATTGTTTCAGGCTAGTTGCATTCAACTTGGGCTACTTACCAGGGGTAGACAAAAACATCATTACCAAGTCAGAAACAACATTACTTGCAATAGAGGCTGCTAGGAAAATCTTAATGCCCGGAGGACTCATCAGTATAGTGGCGTATGTTGGCCACTCTGGAGGAAGGTGATAACTTGTCCACAGTATCTTGCTTTTTGTAGTTGTACTCAGAACCCTAAGGAAGCACAATAATCTTGAGTTATCTTTGAAGTGTGAAGAATTATAGCAGGCCAAGAAGTGTTAGAAAACTGGGAAAACTTTCTTATATAAGGTTACAGTTATGAAGGCCTTAACACAACGCTACCACTGACTAAGCAAATGTATTAATTAGACCGATAAGATTACTACAGAACATGGTATTTATAGGATGTCCAATTAATTAAATCCAAAATCTGAGCTTGGATCGTCAACATTATGTTATCTAAATAATACCGTACTCTGTAGCTTCTTTCGTACTCCCTATTATTTGAATAGCTTCTTTAAACTGCTTAATGACGTGTTTCTGTGAAATTCTAATTGTAAATTGTATTCCTCTACAGGGAAGAATTTGAGAAGATTGAAGAATTCACTTCCAGATTACCATTTGAAAGTTGGAATTGTTGCAAACTCCAGATGTTAAACAGACCATTAGCACCTGTACTTGTGTTTCTATTTAAAAAATGAATGGTTCAAAAAATGAGAATTAACAGGGGATCTCTCTTGCAGGCAATCAAGTTGACCAGAAACTTGTTTTGACTAGATGGACATTTTATTTGATCAGGGAATATAAGTCTATTTTGTACATATCATTTTTAATTTGAGTTCTCTGTTAATGAATATTTTGGCTCTCAATCTGGTGCATGTCTCCACAGAAGCCATTAGTATGCAATTCACTCAAGGAGATCTCTAATGAGGTGTCTACCTTCTTGTATTAATGCCCAAACAAGGTAAGATGCATCTTTTTTGTCAATCCTTACAAGTTGTACATGTTTCTTGGCATAACAATGCTTTAACCAACTTTTTTTCCTCTAGTTTATGGTGTGACCTTGACAACAAATGTCTCGTACTCTACTTAAGCCACATGTATGTTTTCCCTTTTGCCTACTTCCCCTACTCTATTCCCCATTCATGAATTCCTCAGATGTCAGCACCCGTGGATAGTCCTCTGGTTAAGTAGGCACGTTTAGTGTGCGAAGGGCTTTTGTTGAAGGTTTTGCTAATCTGAAAGCCTTTTTTTTTCCTCTGGAAGTGGGGAGTGTATAACCATTGAAAGACCCGGAGTGTAGCGAGGGTATCCAATTAAAATAGACTTTGCAAACAGATCGATCAAACAAGCAAAGTACAATAGTGATGATGTTGTAGTACTAAAACTAAATGACTGACAAGGTGCTACAACATCTTCATAGTAACACACAAGTAGTATTATATGCCAGCAAAAAACAGTGCACGGAGATTTGTTTATGCAGTTCAGAGGAATTCTCTTACTCTGCGGGGCCCACATCCATGTAACATTCTACCCCTAAACCTTTGTAACAGATCACACCGGTTAATACATTAGAACTTTTCTTCTAAAGTAATGACATAATCTCACTACGAAAAGCTTCAAACTGAAACCCTATTAAGACAGGTAAACTTCCTTTTTATTCTCTATTTTCAATTTCATTACTCATTCTATTCAAATTCAGCATTTCCCTTTTGCCTGTTCTAATATTATTCCGCAATTATTATTATATCACGAAGAATTATTGCAGATAACCTTTAGAAATTATTGCATAGTTGAATTTAAAGGTTAAAAGCATTGGACTGTAAACACGTTGCCGAGCAAACATGCTCCTGCTTAGCATCTTTGAGCAAGAAAGCATGTTGGACTCATAAAAATTTTACTGTAATTGAGATGTTTAGTAAAAAATCATTTTTTATTAGGATTTTTGTGAAACTTTTAGCATTTTACTAAATTAGCAAACATTCCAACTGCAAATATAAAATGCTGCCGTTAACCAAACATAACCTGACCCAATATATTCAGGACTCGAAAACCAGACCAGACAAGGCTTTGTTCGGAAGTTTCGAAGCTGAAATGGGCAATTGCAGACAAGATTTCAGATTAAAGTCATCAAATATAAAATAAAATATAAAAAATGAGCCTTGAAGGCAATAATAACAACAAACTCATTAAAATCCTGTAAAAAGAAGGGTTTGGGGAGGGTGTGTGTTTAAAAAAGCGCCCTGAAATGGCAAGGAAAATAATTGGTATACAAAATATATCTATCTACGGCCGTGGTCTAACGAGTGTGAGGAGAAAGCTAATCAAAGCTCAGCCTTAGAGTTGCCCAACTGACTAAACAGAATGGCCATGTCCATACCTTGTACCATAGTTGGCACCGCTGTGTCATAAGGGCAGTCCCTTGAAAATCCTACCTTTCCCGACTTCTGCACTCTCTTTATGCACTTCTTGAACTTCTCATGGCATTTAACATTTGTCAAACCTGATGACACAGTTAAGAGCATTAATTTTGACAATAAAATTTAAAAATTGAGATAAAAAAACAAAGTTAATTTGAAGGCATGCACCCAAAAAAAGAAGGTAAATTTAATGCAGTATGGAATTAATGGTACCGGCACCGTCATGTATGTTACAGAGTATAAAATGAGGCGCAGAGTAAAACTAGACGTTTAGGACCATCCATCCTCAAGCTAAATGTAATAACTTAGAGAACTAGTAATTTCTAAACAGTTCTTTTTATAAAAACAGTACTTCAGTTCTTCCCTCCCTTGAAATACGTTAGCAAGGTACAACTTTTATATTTTAAGTTTCAAGTGTAGCTACCCTCCCCATTCCATTACAAGTGTTTACTCTTTCATTGGGCATGTAGAGTAAGACTTAAGAGTAGTAATGGTTATCAAGATAGAAAGAAAAGAGAGGTCAAAAAGTAAAGACAAAGTTAAGTGATTGAAAATTTAGAGAAAGATTTTGAGCCACATATATCATTCCTAAATACGAAAAAGTTGAAGTGTGATCCTTATTTTGGGACAACTACAAAAGGAAAGTGTGAAATTTATTTTGGAATGAAGGGGGTATTTTATCTTTTCCATATCTCCGATGAAGCCAAAGATTCACTACTTTTTGGCTTTGACGTATGATGGAGTAAAGCAAAATGAATCTTTAAACTGTGCGCTTCTTTTACTAGTGAAGCAGCAATTAGTCAATGCAACTCTCTACGCAACAGTCGCTCGATGTTTTTAACATAGGGGCGAGACTGTGTACATCCAACCTCCCTTTACCCCGCAATGGGCGAGAGTCTTTGAGGCACTGGGGTAATGTTGTTGTCGTTCTTGTTGAAATGGGTATTTTATCAAGTATGGCCTCTCCAAAATAATAATACTATGAACAAACATCTCACAAAGAAAAGTGTGAAGAGTATCATGAAACAAAAGGAGTATTTGTAAATGTAGCAAATTCAAAAATAGATTGCCACAAAGATTTGGAAAGCATACCGTCTTTCTCCACACAGTCATCGTGAATTTTGCAACAGGCATCAAGATCGTCGCAAGGTTTCTCCCCGGGACAACCAGTCCAACCTACTCCACAATACTTCCCATATTTAATTCCAATCGCTGTAACATATTTCATCCAACAAAATGTGAAAAAAAATTAGTACAACGTCCATTGCCAACGGAGCTAAAATAGTCATTATTGACAATGTTTCAGTTTTAGGCATTATTGACTAAACCAAAATGGCAAATTAAACTTCCATTGCTTCTCGATTTCTATGAATCTTTGGGCAGAAAATGAAGAAATGTATCTAAGCAACCAAAACAAAGTTGGGATTATATTGGGTTGTTGTTGTCTTTGTCATATTGATCATTCAAAAAAATGGCAATGCATACAAAAAACCTAATGAATAGAACCAGGAAGAAGATGAAGGGGATGGAGAAATACAGTTACAATTTTCCGCAACACACGTTCTGCTGCATCCAATCTGTCATTCACATCAAGGATGAGATTTCTCAGAAATTCTTACAGAAAAAAGCAATCTATGCTTCATGAATGTTTTAGAGCATACCATTTTTCTAGAGCATTTATGACTCAGTCAATTACCTGATGCTGTTTGGATGATTCCACAGTGGCGATCAGTAAGGGGGAGAACAAAATGATTGTGAGGATTAATGAGGCGGCGACGCCCTTTCCGATCGGAAATCCGGCGTGCCACGGCATCCTTTTCTTTGATTCTCCTTCGCTGTAACTCGTTCCCTCTCCGGTTGGTTCGCTCCAAACGGGCCCGTCTGTGGAGCCCCTGCTGATTGCTAAACAGAGAAATTAGTTTAATTGGTTTTTAGAAGATGTTTGGGGTACACTAGAGAAGGGAGAGTCCTTTATAACTTACTAGTATAAGCCTATTCTACCCTAGGGCATGTTTTTTTTTTTTGGAAATTTCAGACGTTGAAAAGATTAGAAATAATTGGAAAAAAATGTCTTGAAAATCAGATTGGATGTTGAATCGGCGTGGCAAGTAGAGGGTGTCAAAGGACGTGTTTGGAAATAGCGTTAGCTATTAGCGTTTTGAAAAGGCTATTTGCGGACAGCGTTTTCAAAATAATCTGCACCGTTAAAATTTTATCCAAAATGCTAACGCTAATCTCTAACGCTATTCCCAAACAGACCCAAATTCGGTCAACGAATCTATAACTATACTCTGTATTATTTACCATTTCAAACTTGTATTTTGGGTCAACGAATCTATAACTATACTCTGTATTATTTACCATTTCAAACTTGTATTTAGTTGATTAAAATGAAAAAAAATAAAATAAGGAGAAATCGTAGTATATTTATTTATAATTAATAAATACAGAGTATTACTTAAACTTTAAGGATGATAATAATTTTTTAGATAAATTATTCATATTTGTATTTACATAAAAAATCCTTTTTTTTGTTTTAATTATTTTTAAAGATCGTAAAAAGAGTTAGCATTTTTAATAATTACTCTTCAATGTTTAAATAGAAAACAGGTAAGACTCGCGAACTTGACGGATCAATCTAGGCTGAGCGAGTCACCGAAATTTTTTCTAGATTTTTATAAAAACGAGTTTAAGATTGAACTAGACCGGACAAGTTGTTGGGTCGCGGTCCGGCCGATCAGACTAACCGATCTGATCCGAATTTCAAAATATTAAAAAAAATTAAGAATGAATTGAAAAAAAACATCGAGGAGTTTGTTAGAGTCTATCCCACATCGGAAAGTTGAATAGAAAAGATATCGGTATATAAGCTCTTGAGTTTAACTAACTAATCGATTGGATTCAATCTTTTAATGTGGTTCAACCCAAGTGTCTTATTGCCTAATCCAGTTGTCCATACCCATCCTAAATTCTATCATGGTATCGGAGCAGGTTTTGGCCCACCTCGTTTGTCAAGGTGTCCGTCTAGACGTTCATTCCTAGCGGACCGTTTGTCTTTAGCCCAGTTGTCCGTATGGAGTATGTACCCAACGGCCTGTGGCCCGTTTAACACGATTGCTCGTCTGGAAGTCCATACCCAGTGACTCGTGGTCCTTTAGGTGTTGGCGCTCAAAAAAAAAGTCAAGGGAATGGGAGTTCATTTGCAAGTGGTCAACCGATTAGATTCAAAATGGCCCGGTTGTCCACTTGAGGGGGAGTGTTAGAGTCTATCCCACATCGGAAAGTTGAATAGAAAAGCTATCGGTATATAAGCTCTTGAGTTTAACTAACTAATCGATTGGATTCAATCTTTTAATGTGGTTCAACCCAAGTGTCTTATTGCCTAATCCAGTTGTCCATACCCACCCTAAATTCTATCAGAGTTGAAAGTGTTAGAAAAATTAAAGCATTAAAAAACACTCAATTAAATGACCATTCAAATAATTATGTAAGAAAATTCTATTTTTGAATAAAAAAATTTCATTTTGGTCTATGTTTGAGGTAGTATGTTTTTTTTAAACAAAATGCATACTCCCATTAAAATCACAAAGTATCTGTATAAATTACAATCAAAACACTATTTCGCCTTCCCCTATATTTTTGGAAACGAAAAGTAAATGCTTTGACATACCACAGAATATTCTTCACCCATCTCTCTACATCAAGTTGCTTCTTGTAAACCAATATGTTCTTTAGTCTCCATACATTGTAGCAGATGGCTACCCACAAAGCTTGCATTAGCGTCTTTGATTTTCTGGTCCGCGTCCTTAGTAACTCCACTTCCATGTTGTCGAGGGAGTTCACTTTGCAGTTAATCCCCAACCACTGAAGGGCCCTCTCTCGGACCTCAATTGAGACCCTGTAGGCCCAAAACAGGTGTTCAAAAGTTTTTGCTTCTTCTCCACATATTTCACAATCTGTTGGGATGTTAACAAAGGCTTTGATTCTGCTTCTAATCAGTAGCCTTCGATGTTTCACAAGCCACGTGATGAACTGGTGTTTAGGATGGGACGCTTTGCACCACACACATCTATGCTAGTCAATATTATGTCCATAATCCAAGAGCCAGAGATATCCTTTCTTCACTATGTAAACATCTCAGCCGTATAGCCTCAGAATTATTCTTTTACTGCGTTCATCATCTTCCAGTAATATGGGCAGTCTGTCTTTGGGGTGTAAGCCCAAAAGTTAGAGTCTTTAATATGCTTCGCATGGACCCATCTTATCCACAAAAGATCTTTTTTACTTGTTATATCCCAATTGAGCTTCATTAAACATGCTTTTTTTCATGCCATCAGATTTTAAATACCAAGTCCTCCCTTGTTAAGGGGCAAACAAGTATCTTTCCAGCTAATAGGGTGAGCTTTGGAGTGCTTTGATAGCCCTGTCCAGAGAAAATTCCTATAGTGATGCACAACACACTTGGGAATCATAATAAATATTCTGGCCTAGAAATTGAAAATACCAAACATTACTAAGTTAACAAGTTTCGTCCTACCAGCGTAGGATATATGCTTGGAGCTCCATGTAGAAATTTTGCTCATCAATTTATCAATGAGAATCTCAAATTTTTTAAGTCTTGCCGTGCTGATGGGCACTCCCAAATAGGTAAATGGAAGGACCCCTTTATTAATACCAGTCGTTTGGATGATGTCATGGTGATTTTGCTCCTCAACTCCCCCAAAAATGATTTGGTACTCCCTCCATTCTTGTGTATTTATTCACTTTTGACATTTTTCAATCAAAGTAGGTAAACTTTGACTTGAAATTAAATAAAAATGATACTCCGTATTAGATATTGATACAAAAATAGTTTTATTAAATTTATTATATCAAATATTTTCAAAATATTATTTTATCTAATTAATATACAATATATGTTTTATTTAATTATAAGTCAAAAGTTGAAAATAGTTGAACCTAAATATTTAAAACTGGACAAATACTCTAAGACGGAAAGAGTATTTTTGGACGGTCACAGGGGCCGTCCATACAAATATGAATGATTACATATATTGAACGGTATAATTGTTTTAATACTCAGGACAGAAAGAGTGTCTAAAAGAGTTTTTTAAAAGAACCGTTTCGCCACGCCTCTATTTTCAAAAAGAAAAAAGTGAATCTCATCTCTGAGAATTCCTCAGATCTGACCGAACGATCACAAAGAGGAGGTGAATTGATTTCTAATTGTAAATAGGTGATAAATAGTGGAACATGCAACTGGAACTTGCAAATACTATATGTTTAAGATATTTATTTTTCAGCACAATTGACACGAATCAAACTCATCTTGTTTGTCCTCATTTTTTTAAGATACTCCTAACTCGAGGCTAAAAGTCTGTTCTTTTCAATTTATTTTTATTACGGAATATTAATTAATTTTTCTTATTCGAGTTAATCCAGTTTAGATCAAATCTGATAAAAAACAAATTCAAACATAATTACATTTAGGGATTTACTTTGGTGCCTTTGTAAATGAGAGGGCATCCATGCCCCTCCATTCATTAGATGACATGTGTATTAATAACAACTAGTAATATTCTAGAAGTTTAATTAATAAGATTCCATAAATTGTTAATAATTGTTAAATAACCCCAATTTCTCGGGAAGTTTGCATAAACTTACCCACTTTTGTCTCATTAATTTGCAATACTATTACACCGTATTAATAATTATTTTATCAACTATTTCTCTTTTTTAACATTTTCTAGATAATTATTAGTATTAATTTATTCAATAATTATTTTATTAATTACTATTTAATTTACTCACCATTTACTTTAAAAAATAATTGTTATTTAAATTTTCTCAATCTCGTTATTCTATGATTTTTATTAATTAATTACTTTTCATTGAAAAACCAAAAAGAATTGAAAAAAAACTAGAGAGAATTAAGAGAAAAAAAGAGTTGGAAAAAATTTGAAAATGTTAAAAGATGGGTAAGAATATGGACAAATTGGAAAAAGTTGAAAAATGTTCGATAAAAATAAAAAAAATGTTGAAATAAATGTTACTCCCTTCGTCTACTAATTAAATTTCTGTATCAAACAATGTGCAAAATCTCATGTGATTAAAAATATTTTATTATTAAATTGGTAAGAAAACAAAAAGTAAAAAATTACATATTTTAAAGTATATCAGAATTTTATATGGATATTTTATTTTATCTAATTATCAGTGAAAATATTTTTTTATAAGTTTTGAAAATATTTCAATTTAATACTCTCTTTGTTCCTAAGTATTTGTTCACTTTTGACTTTTTGGTCAAAATTGATAAATTTCGATCTCAAATTAAATAAAAGTGATACTCCCTCTGTCCCATTTTAAATTGCATGTTTGCCTTTTTTCTCCGTCCCAAAACAAGTTGCATGTTACTTGTTGTCGTAAACTTTTATGAGTAAAATACCTAAACTACCCCTAAAATAAGTCACTCTTCTCCACCTTATCTTCTCATTCATCGTCACTCCTCTTAAAAATTAATGACAGTTTCAAAAAATCAATTCTTTTTTTATTTTCTTTAAATATGCCCAAAAGTCAAAACATGTGATTTACAATGGGACCGGGGGAGTATTAATTATTTGATACAAAATTTTTTTTATTAGATTTATTATATAAAATATGTCTAAAAATTATTTTATCTACTTAATATACAATATATATTTTATTTAATTATAATTCAAAGTATGAAAATTATTGAATTAAAAATAGTCAAAACTCGACAAAACACTCAGAGACGGTGATAGTATTATTTTATTCACATCGATGATGATGATGATACTAATAACAAATACAATTATATTGATAATATGAAGTATACACCAAAGTAAAACATTTAGGTGATTATTGAAAAAAATAAAAGAATTTAGAAGAAATTATTATTGGTTAAAAGAAACCTAAAAAGATTGGAGGATATGATAAGAAATTAGAAAATATAAAAAGTCAAGAGTTAGGCCATGTATTCTTAAAGTATTTCTTATTTCTTATTCGTTTTTCTTATTAGAACTAGATTAAATTAGATCCGATCAGAAATAATTTTAAGTATGACTACATTTAGATCAGATCAAAACTTATTTTAATCAAATCAGAATTAATGAGATTTGGTGAAGAGAACATGACCTTTGAGCTCAATAGAATAGAACCAAATTATAAATGACATGGTAAATAAGAGAAATAAACAAACAAAATAATAATAACAAAAACAATGATAATACGTGCTAATATTAATAATAATAAAACTAAAAAATATCAATAGTAATAATAAAAAATACTCCATATAATAATAATAACAATAAGATTAATAATACTTATAATAATATCACTGTCCTTGAGTGTTTTGTCGAGTTTTGACTTTTTCATTCAATAAGTTTTAGTCTTTGACATATCATTAAATTATATATATATATATATATATATATATATATATATATATTGTATGTTAATTAGATAAAATAATGATTTAGACATTTTTATATAATAAATCTAATAAAACCTTTTTTGTATCAAATAATTAATATCACTTTTATTTAATTTGAGGTCAAAATTTATCAATTTTGACCAAAAAATTAAAAGTGAAAAAATACTCAGAGACGAAAGGAGTATTAAATTGAAATATTTTCAAAACTTATAAAAAAATATTTTCACTGATAATTAGATAAAATAAAATATCCATATAAAATTCTGATATACTTTAAAATATGTAATTTTTTACCTTTTGTTTTCTTACCAATTTAATCATAAAATATTTTTAATCACATGAGATTTTGCACATTGTTTGAAACAGAAATTTAATTTGTAGACGAATGGAATAACATTTATTTCAACATTTTTTTATTTTTATCGAACATTTTTCAACTTTTTCCAATTTGTCCATATTCTTACCCATCTTTTAACATTTTCAAATTTTTTCCAACTCTTTTTTTCTCTTAATTCTCTCTAAATGTTTTTCAATTCTTTTTGGTTTTTCAATGAAAAGTAATTATTTAATAAAAATCATAGAATAATGAGATTGAGAAGATTAAATAACAATTATTTGTTTAAAGTAAATGGTGAGTAAATTAAATAATAATTAATAAAATGATTATTGAATAAATTAATACTAATAATTATCTAGAAAATGTTAAAAAAAAAAAGAAATAGTTGATAAAATAATTATTAATACGGAGTAATATTATTGCAAATTAATGAGACAAAAGTGGGTAAGTTTATGCAAACTTCCCGGGAAATTGGGGTTATTTAACAATTTTTAACAATCTATGGAATCCTATTAATTAAACTTGTAAATTATTACCGAGTAGTTGTTATTAAAAGTACACATGTCATCCAATGAATGGAGGGGCATGGATGCCCTCTCATTTCAATCAAATCAAAATCATTTTATTGAAAACAAAGAGTAAAATTTTAGACTAGTTAAGCTCACCCAGTCACCCATGGTTCCAAGACGGGTTTGGCCCTTCACCCTTGTCTATCCGGTGAGGAATAATGCCCATACCTCTGTAGGCTCCTTTCAACGATTTTAACGTGGGTTTCTCCACTGGTTCACAGTAGCTGAATAGTACGGAGCACAGAATCAGCCCTCAGGATTTCCATTTTCAGGAATTGATCCCCCCAGATCCAAATGGTGACAAAAGAGGCAAAAGGAACGGCGGCAATGGATCTACCGGCGCCGCCGTTGACGGTGACTCTGCAATCGGCCTTGAAGTCACTGAAGCTGAAGACGAAGCAGCAGGAGTTGCTTCTTCGGGTGACGATCCTGTGCTTGGTGTACGTCCTGGCGTTCATCACGCGGCTCTTCAGCGTGTTGAGGTACGAGAGCATGATCCACGAATTCGATCCGTACTTCAATTACCGGGTCACCCTCTTCCTCACCGAGAAGGGATTCTACGAGTTCTGGAACTGGTTTGATTCGGAGAGTTGGTATC